AGTTTGGAAGTTCTAGTCTCTGAAAATACACCAGCAAACCTGCCCGAGTGATTCACTCGTGCATTGCTCCGCACAAAAGGATAGGCTCGCGTTGTAACCCTTTCCTCTCTGGGTTTGGGTTACATTATTGTATCTAGGTCGTTTAGACACTACCATAATAATATGCTCTGCTCTAAATTCTAATGACAACTTTGGTCTTTAGTTTGGGTATTCCTTTGCCACCAGATAAGAAATAAATAAAGCACTGTCTAAATTCCGCCACAGGAATAACTAAAATTATCGATACAACGAAAACTATAACCACAACTGTGAACCGTTACCGTATATTATTATTATACCGTTCTCAACAAAAATTTGCTCGATTCACATACAGAGTAACGAAGAATGGTTTTGTGTTTTCAACAGAACTAATCGAAATAGACCGCCCTCTAGTTGTCATATTTGTCAACTGTGAAAACTGTGAACAGCTTTCCAGCTATGTATGTGTCATACCGATATCACGATATAATACTAAATATAATGATATAATTATATATAATGTAAGTATTTAATTAAGTTAGTAATTTATATGTGTAGACAGAGACTGCGTCTGCAAGTTAGTCACGCTATCACGGTACCGATCAATTTCTTTCGATTGGCGATTGGTTCCCAGGAAATTTCTTCAAACAGTAGGCCCTAGAAACATGTTGGATATGAAACAGTTGCAACTTGCATTAGATACAATAATGTAACCCAAACCCAAGAGGATAGGGGTTACATTGGGTCCTATCCTCTTGGGTTTGGGTTACATTATTGTATCTAAACTTGCATGTGTACCGCATTTATCATGATTATGCATAAATGTTCATGATGTATGAGTACTCACGACAATGATATATTCAACTGACTTCATGACATACGCTGTACAACTGAACTGATACTAGTTGAACTAAAGTCTAATAATACGGCCCTATATATAGTCTAGAGACCAGTCTAGAAGTAGAGGGCTGCGACCAGATGAGATGGGATACTAGAGATAAGAAGCGTTGCCGAAAGGAGGTGTTTATCCGAAGTGCTGCGCGATCTTGCGCGCAGTTCCGCGGCAAGGCGCACGCGAC